GCCCCCCCACGGAATTTTAGGGTAGAGAGGGCAAATGGTCTTAATTCTGATGCACTAGCAGCAGCTGCCAAGCACAGTGGGCAGTCCTGACAGGTAGCTGGGCATATGCTGCTGTGAGTGCAGGGAAAAGCAGAAAGCACATTTGGGAATCTCCTGTGACTACAGTACAAAAGAGCCCCCCCACGGAATTTTAGGGTAGAGAGGGCAAATGGTCTTAATTCTGATGCACTAGCAGCAGCTGCCAAGCACAGTGGGCAGTCCTGACAGGTAGCTGGGCATATGCTGCTGTGAGTGCAGGGAAAAGCAGAAAGCACATTTGGGAATCTCCTGTGACTACAGTACAAAAGAAAACTCCCAACACACCGTTGAAATGTTGAAGAAGACCGTTTCTTCTCAGTTAGCAATCAGTTGCTTAGACACAGTACAGAAGAAATGTTAGCAGCAAAAGCTGAACTTGGTTCAGCACCTTACAATGCTAGCCTTTGATTTTAAAGGCAAAAATATTTGGATGGTAGGCTAGGATACAGTAAGAATAGGGAAAATATACATATGTGTGTATGTGTATATCTAAGACTTATTTTTATATTTGTGTTGTGTGTGTGTGTGTGTGTCTATCTGTATGTGTATGTGTACATGCATGCCAGTTACTGCAGACACCGGAAAAGGACGTTGGATCCCCTGGAGCTGAAGTTTCAGATTGATTGTGAGCCACCAGAATCGGTACCAAAAACCAAACACAGGTCCTCTGGAAGACCAGCAAGTGCTCTTAACTGCTGAGTCACCTATCCAGCCCCATGAATTTATATTCTTAAGTATGAACCACACTCATCATCTCAGTCCTAACAACCCTAACCATGAGGGTTTTTGTTTTGTTCTGTTCTGGTTTTTGAGACAGAGTCTCACTATGTAACCCTAGTTGAACTGGAACTCTCTATACATACCAGGCTAGCCTTGAACTCACAGAGGTCCTCTGGCCTCTGCCTCCATAGTGCTGGGACTAAAGGCATGTGCCACCACACCCAGCCTTAACACTACCATTTTGTAGTTGAGAAATTTTAAGCTTACATTGTTCAAAGCTGTCCAATTCAAAACCCAAGTATAACTCCACAGTCTATATATTACTTCCACTACTCAAAAAAACAAAAAACAAAACACATGACCTACAAACCTGAAAGAATACAGAAGAGAAGAAATTGATTGTGCCAAGTAGGCTCAATACAAAATATAACTGGCAACTTTCTTGGTAGGAAATAACTACTTTGGATATAATTCTTTTTAAAATTATTTTTATTTTATGTGTATATTACCTGCATGATTTAAGTGCACCCATGTTGTACAGTGCCTGCAGAGATCAGAAGAGGGTGTTGGATCCTGTAGAACTAGAGTTACAGATGACTGTTAGCTGCCATGTGGGTGCTGGGAATCGAGCTCTGCAAGAGCAGCCAGTGCTCTTAACCACTGATTGATCACTCCAGCCTTCAATTATTTTCTTGAATTAAGAATTATATTCAACAGGCACAGTGGCACACGCCTTTAATCCCAGCACTCGGGAGGCAGAGGCAGGCAGACCTCTGTGAATTCAAGGCCAGCTTGGTCTACAGAGTGAGTTCCAGGACAGCTTGGGCTACAGGGAGACCCTGTCTCAAAAAGACCAAAAAAAAAAGAGTTTTATATTCAGGGGCTGGGAGATGGCTCAGTGGTTAAGAGCCTACTGATCTTCCAGAGCACCCAAGTTCAGTTTCCAGCATCTACATGGAAGCTAACAACAGTACACAACTCCAGCTTCCGGGAATCCAACACTCTCTTCTGGTCTTCTGAATACTTGTAGGTAAAACATGCATACATGTAAAATTTTTTAAAGAGGAAATGTCTGAAATCTATGACTGAAAGAAAACACTTCAACCTTAATATAGCCAATACCATGGCATATAAAGTTTTCCATAAACAAAAGTTACTGTGCTCCCAGAAGTTTGAGGAAGCAGAAATTAGCATGTGTTTTCTATGGATTTAAACATCTGCATTCATGAAACAGTAAACAAAAAGTCCACAACAATCTATCTTGATTTTTATGCTGATGAAGGCTAGAGAGATAGCTCAGTAGTTAAGATCACACACTGCTCTTCCAGAGGACCTGAGTTTAATTCTCAGCAACCTCAATACCCTCTATTAATTCCAGATACCGAGGATCAGATGCATTTGGCTTCTTCAAGATACTTGCACTCATGAACCCACAGACACACACATAATTTTACCACTTACAAGTAGTATTAATTTTATTTATTATTAATTAATTAATTTATTTATTTATTTGGTCTTTTTGAGACAGGGCTTCCCTGTAGCCCCAGCTGTCCTGGAACTCACTATATAGACCAGGCTGGCCCTGAACTCACTGAGATCCACCTGTCTGCCTCCCGAGTGCTGGGATTAAAGGCATGCGCCACCAGGCAGGATTGTGCTATGTAACTTAGAATGGCCTCCAAGTCTGTCTAACGCAAGAGGCTATCAAACTCAGGATTCTCCTGCCTCTACCACACCTGGCTACCAATAAAATTTTTTTTGTTTTTGCTTTGTCTTTTTGAGGCAGGATCTCCCTATAGCCCTAGCTGGCCTGGAACTGACTATGCAGACCATGCTGGCCTTGATTCTCACAGAGAGCTGCCTGCCTCTGGAGTGCTGGGATTAAAACTGTGCACCACCAAGCCCAGCAGATACACTTTTATTTTACTTTTTAGCAATGGCAAGCATTGAACTGAAGATCGTCCTGCAGCTTAGCAAATGTTTCACTATTGAGCTACACATCTAGCCCTCATAACACTTGGTCCATCCACCATCTGTATACATATTATTTAGACCTGTGAAATTACTTGTGAAACATTTACTAACATAAAAGGCATAAATACAAGCACCAAATTATGCAAATATCTATTTACATGAGATCACACTATGAAACACAAAGACAATAGAAATATAAGTTATTTATTAATCAATCCACTTACAAAGCAGGTGGCTTAATGCAAGCTTATTGACATCTTCACATATGATCCATTGGAACATGTCTTCCACATACAGACAGTGATATTACTGACTGGATGCATTTGCAATCTTGCGCATATTAAGCATATTTAAACAAATAAAATTAGGCTATCCTGTATATGAAAAGTATCTCGACACTATGCATCTTGAAGTGGATTAAAACTTCCTCCAAAGGAGAAATGTTAGTATGTTAACTTAACTTTATACTCTATATTACATTGTAAATCTTAACTATAGAAATTAAAATTTTTAAATCAGTGATCGACTCTTGGTAATGTATGAAGTGGGCATCTATAACCATAACAACAGTAGGTTGACCATATAATTTGTGCCTCACAGTATCTGCAGATTTTATTGTTTTCAAGTTTAGAGAGAAATAAAACAAGAGACATGTAGATTCAGCTGACTTTATTTATATTTAGACTAATAAAAAAAATCCCTTAAAAGTGATCCTGGGACCTTTCCAAGTTCTACGAATGCATAGATACCTGCCAATGACAGAAATTCTAGTCCTGACTGAATATGTCTATAAAATTAGTATAAGCAGATATCAACTATTCGTGCTTAGCAGAATGAACAAAATTCTACATGTCTTTCTCAATTTCCCTAAATTTTAAAAAAATCTGCAAGTATGTACAATCCAGCTAACTCAATTTAATATTTAGTGTTCATCAAAGCTGTTTCAAAGCAGCAAAAATTGAAATAGGGAAATAAAGTTCTAAATGATGTAGAAAAAGATAAATATGATCAGAACAGCAGTCTAAATGTATGATATTAATATTCAACTCTATCTTGCACTGTGCTGGCAAGAAAAGGATACACCAAGAAAATCCATATTGATCACTCTGGTGATGTGAGCACCACCTGCATCTGATTGACTGACATGGGTTGTATTCTGTTCCCAGAACTAAAGTTGGTACTTAACTCAGAACTCCATGTTGTAAATATACAGCAGCCATTTTGTCCTAATTTAGTTAAGGAATGTCTTAATACATAATATTATCATTTTCTAGAGGATCTTTATACATTAAACTAAAGTACATGATTGATTAAATTAAAGGTTAGTAATGGATAAAAAAATCCGTAATTCTCAAGACTTGGTACTATGTAAAAAACAACAACAACAACAACAACAACAACAACAGAAAAAAAAAAAAAAAAAAAAAAAAAAAAAAAAAAAAAAGACCACAAAATACTACTTACTAAAGCAGCTAATCTTGCCTGCAAGTTTAGGGTCACAAGCCCATAATATGTGCAAAGAAATGCAATACAAGGAACCATGCAAAAATACAGTAAAATGATACAGGAAAAAATGTCAAATCTAGGGGGGGGAAAAGCTTTTATAAATACATCAAAATCAACTGTATACATAAACTGTAGGTCTAGCATTAGTTGTACCATATAGCAGAGCCAGCACTTGAAGTTCAATGCTTCCAAATCTGCACAGGTAAGTCATGCCATCTTTGGTTGACTGCAGTACCAGAAAGGATGGGAATGAGAGGGAGAGCAAGAGTTCTGAAACACGTTGTCAACTTTCACTTGGCAGCTGGGCCTCAATGTCCACTCTGCATATGGGGCACTTCTTATTGGTAATCAACCACTGGTCAACACACACTTGGTGGAAAAGGTGCATACAGGGAAGACGCCTGTTATTAGTAAAGAAAACAAAAAGCAAAAATTAATTTTATGATTTCTATGCGGCATTTTTAAAAACAAATTATACATACATTAATTCAGTAGTATTTTGAAGCTACATCTTCATCTTAAAAACACACACACAAAAAAAAAACCTATGGAGACGGCTAAAGTTCTAGTTTACTTTTTTCTTTTTAAAATATTTTATTTATTATTTTTATTTTATGTGTATGAGTGTATTGCCTGCATGTCCGTGAGTGCACCCATGTTGTGCAATGCCAGCAGAGGTCAGAAGAGGGCACAGGATTCCCCTGGAACTGGAGTTAAGGACAGGTCATAGCCGCCATGTGGGTGCTGGGAATCGAACCTGGGTCCTCTGCAAGAGCAGTCAGTGCTCTTAACCACTGAGCCATCTCTCCAGCACCTCTAATTTACTTTTAAGTAAGAGGTCTTTTAAGATCTATCAATCTCTCAATTGATCTATCTAGCTATGAGCCTCTGGACCACAATCCAGACCCTAATAAGTTTGAGAGCAGATTTTAGATAATTAATATCTAGTTACCTCACATCTTCACCTTCCTCTAAAATAGACAAACAGATAGTACATTTTTCCTCTGTATCTTCCTCAGTCCCCTCTTCCCCATCTTGCTTGCAGTGCAGTTTCCTCTGTGAGAACCAATCAGTTGTTACCTTATTAGCAGAGATGACATTATTGAACAACTGAGTAAAGTCTGTGTTTATTTAAAACAAAACAAAACAAAACCACATATTCACATATAACTTATGTCATGAATAGATGAATTAAGTGACTATCAATTCTTTTAAGATCCCCTAATAATCAGCATGAAAAGCAAAATCAAATTTAACAGAAACTCTTTAGTTTTAAACAACTTTTAATTTATGATGATATACCATATAATGCTATATCAACATAGCTAAAGAAATTTTATTTTTTAGTGAATATTTCAAACAGCCATATAAATTAATTCTAATTATAGTATTTAGTTTTGAAAGAACTTACAGTTAGTAGTAATTATTAATACTCTTAAAAACATGAAAAATACAAAGAACAGTAATTTTCATAGTTCATTATTTTCATTATAACATAAAGTATTATTTGTTATCATAAGTATTTTATTTAAAATGTCTGTTTTGGGATTCCCGCATATAATACTAAACAAACAGTATAAATGAAAGTATTAAGAAATACAAAAATTTTTTCCCCATTATTGTTTTTGTTGCTGTTTTTGCTTATTTGCATTGTTGTTGAATTCATGGCCTTCCTCGGTTATACAGTAAAACACTGTCTCAACAATGCCTGAGCTCAGGCAGGCTTCAAACTCCTGGCAACTCCCTTGCCTCAGCCACTCCAATGCTAGAATTATAGGTGTGGTCATGACACCAGAATTAAGTGGATAGTTAAAAACCCTTACAGTACTATCATATGACAGAATTTTGTCTAAACAATTAAACATGGAAACACAGCTTTGTGGCACACACCTGTGCATTAGCACCAAAAGGCTGAGGAGGAAGAGCTCAAATGTGAAGCCAGTCAGAGATATATACCTAGCAAGCCCTTGTCTCTTAAACAACAAAAAGATCTATGAATGCCCATATGGAATAAAATGGCAACCACTGTAGACCAGGCTGGCCTTGAACTCACAGAGATCCACCTGCCTCTGCCTCCTGAGTGCTCGGATTAAAGGCATGCACTACCACACCTGGCAAGATACCTATACTTTTGCTTCTGAAAAAGGAAGACTAGAGTTTATGGTAAAAAAAAAATTTCAAAGTGCCCAGCATGGTGCTACACACCTTTAATCTGAACATAGCAGGAGGTGGATCACTGAGTTTGAGGCCAGCCTGGTCTACATAATGAGTCCCAAACTAGCCAGGGCTCCATAATGAGAGTTTGTCTAAGAAAATTAAAAAGGAAATTTCAAAGTACATATATTTGTAGTTTTCGATTTTGTCCACTTTGTATATGTTGCTTCAATAAAAAAAGTTGATATACACCACAAATTCAAAGATCTATAATATTAACACTTTATGCATTTCAATAGCAATTTAGGAATTTCACAGAATACAGTCTCACCTTTTTGTATTTATGTGGATATGTACATCTTTCGATTGTTCCCTGGGATGCTCCACGATTGACATTTCCTAATCTTTCTTCCAAATGAATAAGTTCCTGAAAAGTGAAGAATAACTAGTATTAAAGGTGAGAAGACAGCCAGGCATGGTGACACACGCCTCTGATTCCAGCACTTGGGAGGCAGAGGCAGGCAGATCTCTGTGAGTTCAAGGCCAGCCTGGTCTACATAGTGAATTCTAGGGCAGCTGGGGCTACAAGGAGACCCTGTCTCAAAAAGATAATAAATTAAATAAATAAATAAATAAATAAATAAATGTGAGAAGACTCCTTCAACAGCACTGGCAATACCATGAAAACAACAAACATTTATAAGCCTACAGGATAAATACATTGTTCAAAAAACACTGATTTAGGACCAGCAACATGGCTCAAGACTCACATGATAGAAAGAACAGACTCCTGCAAGCTGTCCTCTATCTCCACATACAAACAGCAGCACACACATACATGCAAGTACACATACACACACATATATACATACATATATATACACACACAAATAAGATAAATGGTTCACAAAATTTTTCTTATATAGGTATAGTAAGGCAGACTGTTAAAATGTTTTTCTTCAAACTGAAATGGCACTGCAGTGTTTTAAATTAGGATAATACTGAGCCAGGTATGGCGGTGTACACCTTTAATCTCCAAAGTAGGCAGATCTCTGTGGGATTGAGAACAGCCTGGTCTACATAGAAAGTTCCAGGTCAGCTGGGGCTACAGGGAGACCCTGTCTCAAAAAGCTGAAATAAATAAATAAAAATAAATAAATAAAATAAAAAATAAATGCCACATGGTACTGTGTAAGTCTAGATGTAAGATGAACCCCCTTCCATTAAATTAAGGAAATAAACAAGAATAATTCTATACCAACTACAATTTAAAAATTTATATGAAGAGAAACAGGTTTTTTTTGTTTTTTTTTAGACAGGGTTTCCCTGTAGCCCCAGCTGTCCTGGAACTGTGTAGACCAGGCTGGCCTCAAACTCACAAAGATCTGCCTGCCACTGACTCCCAAGTGCTGGGATTAAAGGTGTGCAACACGACGCCTGGCCGAGAAACATAGTTTTAAATAATATTCAAATGGGGTTATTTTTCCTGAAAACTCAAATGAGAAGATACTCAGCTGCATAATGAATTATTTAGGTTTCTGTTTCTCAGCAATGTTTTTTCACAAATACAGTCAATCAAAAGCATTAAGATTTTCCTCCCACATTTAATGGTACAGTTCATCAGATACTGATATTTAATTTTTTGTTGTTTTTTGAGACACGGTGTCACTATGTAGCCCTGGCCATCCTAGAACTATGTAGGCTGGGCTGGCCTCAAACTCACAGAGATCTACCTGTTTCTCCCTTCCATGAAAGTGCTAGGATTAAAGGCTGATTTAATAAATTTTTATTCATTCATCTGTATTAGATTATTTTCATTCACTCTTATTTAAAAACTCAGTTAAATTTATTTATTTATTTATTTTTATTTATTTATTTATTTATTTTTTGGTCTTTTTGAGACAAGGTCTCCCTGTAGCCACAGGTGGCCTGGAACTCACTACATAGACCAGGCTGACCTTGAACTCACATAGATCCACATGCCTCTGACTCCTGAGCCCTAGGATTAAAGGCGTAAGCAACCACGCCCAGCATATTTTTTATAACTATTTATATTTATTTTATGTATATGAGTGTTTTGCCCACACATAATTAAGTGCTCCTGTATTGTGCAAGGCTCGTGGAGGCCAGACCTCCCTGGAACTGGAGTTAAGGACAGTTGTTAGCTGCCATGTGGGTGCTGGGAACCGAACCCAGGTCCTCTGCAAGAACGGTCATTGCTCTTAACCATTGAGACAACTCTCCAGTCCCTCAGTTACCTTTTGACCTTAGTATCATTGCTCATAAATCTTTGTGCAACTCATAGGCAATATGAGACACCTGACTTTCTGACGCCAGCCACAGCAGCAATTCTATGTAACTATGAACCCCACACATGCACAATGCACTCTGCTCTAAGAAGACCGCTGCAAACGGCTTCATTTATTTTATTGTGTACCTCAAAGTTGCCCCTGAAAGGACCTCTGAATGATGTCCCATCCAATCCTGATGAAATGTAACGGATGTGGGGGTAGCCTGCCATGTCAGGAACCTGTTTTTAATACAAGAGAGACTGAATCAATTAAGAAGAATTGTGATTTAGTGTAACACTGAATATTCAAGACACTCAACATTCTCCATGCAACTCATAGAACTCATACATATACAAGATCTACCCTAAACATTCTCCATCAGGGTTGGTTCGGTTCCCCTTAAACTATAATCTCTCATCCTTTAAAATATAGTCAAAAGAATAAGAAAAAATAGCTGTTTCATGAGGTAACTATCTTGCACAAAGACTTCTAAGTACAGTTGGGCGCTGTGCACAATGAGAGACACCCACAACCCCCATTAATCAGAAGGCTGAGGCAAGTCCAGTAGGTCAAGGTCAGTAGGGGCAATACTTCAAGATCCAGTCTCAAAAGAAAGAAAACTGACTGCGGTGGTGCATGCCTTTAGTCCCAACACTCGAGGTAGAGGCAGGTGGATTTCTATGAGACTGAGGCCATCCTGATCTACATATGGAGTTCCAGACCAGCTGGGGCTATAAGGAGACCTGGTCTCAAAAAGAATCCCTCCCCCTCAAAAAGTGAGGAGGGGGGGAGGAAGAGGAAGAAAGAAAAAGGATTTGATGTATATTCTATTCACACTTGAGCATAATGCTCTCTTAGCAACAATAATTTGAAAAAACTTTCACAAGATTATGTAACCCTTATTAAAAAAAAAAAAAAACCCTAAGATTTTCCCTAATCTACCCTTCTTTTTGCTTGATTCTGTCAGTGAATATAATTTCAAGTGTTTTCTGATTTTTCTTTTTTTGTTCAGCATAGTCAATCCTGATTATTTCAGAATTATCTGTGAGTTGGCTTGTGGTTAAAACTTGTCTGTAGCCCCACATGGATTTTTGTCCTTTCAGCCATTTATGTCATGAAGAGAGTGGCCAAAAACATGCCCTGCCAAACAGGGCTCCCAGCTGAGGCTGAAGAAGGTTCTGCCTTCTGCATCTCTTCCGGTCTACTTACTTAGTATCATGTTTTTCACACAATTGTGATTTTGCCATTGGCTTTCATGTTTAAAATGGCTCTCAAATATAATTCTCAAGTACCAACCAGTGATACCCAAAGCAGTGTGATGTGTGTCAGGAAGAAAACATGTATTGTTAAGTCCTGATCAGGTGTATATTATAGTGCTGATGGCTATCAGTTCAATGTTAGCAGATCATCAATACGTACTAGATGAGCTGCCTTTAATAGAAACACATAAACCAAAGTTGTACATGACTAGAAGCTTACTATATTCCAACACTGTATTTCACCTATAACAGTTGTGTATCTGTAGCAGCTGTACATAAGGTAACTACTGTGGCCATTACAAACCAACCGGATATAAAAACAGAGATTATGAGACAAAGCACCATTCTTCCATCTTTACTAATAAATCTCCAATATTTTTCAACCAGCCTCCACTGAATCATAACATACTTCTAGCAGGTTTTACAGTTTAAATAGACAATATAAAATAATTTAGAAGCAGCAACTTTTAACCTTCAAATGGCATGTTATTTAAATTATCTGAAACTTTATTTATAACCAAGATCAGTACTAAGCAAGTAACTTAACTTTCCCCAAGAAAATCAAAAGGAATTATCTTATTCCTATGTCTGCCCTCACCTGAATCCCTCTCCTCAGTCTCTTTCCTCCAGCTGCTGTAGATGAGCATCCCCTTCCCCATCTAAATCTGGCCGTACCATCAGTCCTCATCCTCCACTTTCCCTTCACTGGATCATACTTACCTGCTACTCCTTACTTCTCCCTTCAAACAGAGAGGTTCTTGCTGCTGGCTTTCTATCGTAAACCTAAATATTTCATGTTTCTCCAAACCTCAATATTCTTCTTACTCCTGGAATCATTACCTTCTCTCCTTCTCACTGGACCTTTAGAGCCAAGCTAAACGATTATATATACATACATACATACATACATACATACATACATATATATATATATATATATAAATTTTCCCCCCATAAAATTTTTATCATCCTAAAAAAGTGCACCAAGAGCTAGGGGTGTGGCTCAGTGGTAGAGTGTTTATCTAGAAAGGGCCCTGGGTTCAATTTCTATCACCACATCCAAAGCTGTGGGAGTGAGGGGGAGAAAGGGGAAAAGTACCCCATCTCCATTTCTCACCAGTGCTAACCACTCTGACACATCCACCGAGAACCATTCCAATGTCAACACTTTTTAAGCTTCATTCTTTTGACACTGCTGACTGTATTAGTTTATGACAATATACTAACTTTGTTTCTCAGCTCTTTGAGCCACTTCTCATAATCATTTAACTGAAGTACACCGCCATTTCAATACTGTATTTGAAAACTCTACTCATCCTCCTGCCATTTGCACACTTCCTCTGAAAATAATTTTCTTTGAATTCATTAGCACTGTTTCATAAATTACCAGCTCAAAAAAAAGTATCTTTAGCTCAGATATCTTTGGAGGTCCAGATCAAAAGCTCAACTTCTTACTGGACATTCAGTCAACCTTGACGCACAGTTATCTCAGATTCAGTTATGTCCAAAACCTATTTCATCTAACCCCTTCATCAAACCATCCAATATTCTCTAATACAGTGAGCCACTTTACAGATTTTAACCCAAACTAGTAATCTGGGCATCATCCTAAGTATTACTCTACTGAGTCCTGTTATTTTCATGCCACTGCCATTGCTTTCTTTCAGACTCTTAACATTTACCTATTCCACTAAAATGTCTAAACCATTTCCTTTTCCCACCGATGAATGTAATTTTTCACGTAACTGAGCATGTGTTTTTTAAACCATAATTAAATTTCTCAAAATGCATATGACCAGAACATCTTCCCTTTTGCAGTCACTGAGTCCCAGTTTATTGTCAGAACAGTGTTATTCTCTATTTTATTTATCCATCTACACATCCTATTCATCCTATTCAGGGAGCGATAGAAGGAGCTGGGACCTGTTTAAGAATGCTGGACAAATGCTCTGTGTATCTAGAGACATAAGCACAGGTGGAACTCCTAGTGCCTGTGCTGTTTGACAGCTCTTGACAGGTCTCAAAACCACCATCCAAGGCTGGATAACAGACAATGAGGCCTCTCTGAAACCTCTGCAGTACCTAGCCCCACAACACAGAACTACTCCCTTTTCTGTCCCACATCTATAGTATTACAAACAATACATTCAATAAACGTTTGCTTAATTTGTGGGGTTTGTTTGTTTTAGTATCATTATAGCAACTAAATTTGGATCTGTTCAAAGTATGAATGTATCAAAGCTGATCCATCCCATTTACACAAATTAACTTAACATGCAATGTCCTAAAGACAGTGAATCACGACTATCTTAGTGTGCAGAGATGCCTGCTTTTTGTCGTTTTATGCATCAAGAGTTCGTCTGACAAGGCAAATTACAAACCCAGATTTTAACATATTTAATACCTTTTTATAGTGCAAACTTCTAGCTTATGAGGGAAATTATTTCTAAATCCTATCAAATCATCTATTATACCAAAATATTTTAATAAAATATTTAATTTAGAAAAGGAATGTTACTTTTAGAAGGGGAAAATGTCAGAATTTTTTAATTCCAATTTTACCATTAAAGGAAGTGGTCCTAACTGTAGGTGATGCAGTCGAGGAGGAGCATGGTAATGGGCCAAGTGAGGATGCAATGCCCCAGGTGTGTAGGTCGCTGCAGTCACTCCAGCTTCAATTCCCAGTTCCCTGAGAAAGGAGAACACTGTAACTTTGTGTGTCTTCCTTATAGTCTTTTTATTATCAAGAGAAATAGGTGCATAGGCTTGTATTTTCGAAAATAATCTAAAGTTTAACTTATAAAGCTGAAACAAAAATTATTTGGCACCACAAAACTTTACTAATAAATGCAAGTTTATTTCAGAAATAAATGTTCAAAAAGCTTCATTTTGTGACCATAAGGAAGAAAGCATTTAGACTCAGTTTTATGTCTCACAAAGGCAAGTCATGTAAGGAATGGCTCCTGGGGTCCCTTCCGACCTAAGGGCCTGGTTGCTACTCCAGGAGCACACAACAGAATTTACTTTGTTGGTTTCTCTGAATGTTACAGATGCTCCCAATACTTTGTTTGTCTGATAATCATCTCTAGGCTCTTGATGATAATGAGAATAGCACACTCTTCTATACCTCATAAATTAAGATAAAGAAAATTTTAGAAAGGGTAAAAGTGGCAACTACTAAGTCTTCGTTTACTCTTAATTTTATGTTCTGATGCAAGTCACCACAGAACAAGATCTCAATGACTGCCAACATCAATGGATTAGAAATTCAATGCAAATCTATTTCATTTCTCCAAAATACAAACAAGATTTCCCTTTTCAATATTTGAAGTTAGGCGTGGTGAAGCAAATATGAGCACAAAGTGGGTAGATAATACAGAAACTGTGGAAAGTAGGATCAGACTAGGGATCTAACGTCAATGACAGACACTTACCACTCATGAAAACAGAAAAAAGCTCTAGTCCTCTCACTTTTATGTGGAAGTCTATGAAAGCCAAATTCAGACATAAGAGAGTAGAGAGTGCTTATTAGAGATTGTCAGTGGGAAGGAGAGGTAGATAGGGATACAAACTTTCAGTTCAACAGAACTAAGTTCTGGTGTTCTATAGTGTTTCACTATGGCTCGAGTTAATAATGGCTAGATGTTTCAAAATTGCTTAAAGCAGATTTTGAATGTGGACATGCTAATTAACCTGAGTTGATCATTCCATAATATATTCAATGCACACAAATATTATCTGACAATTACAAAAAATTTAAAAACAAAACCAAGCAGAACCAAATGCTCTATTCCTGCTTGAGGTGGTTCCCTGCCCCAGAAATCAAGGTCCTATTCTTTTCTTTTAGCCTCTGCTAGCCCACAGGCAGCACCTCACCATAAGCTGAGGATTTTGTTTGCCACGCCAAATTTCTATGTGGCAATGCACTGCAAAGGATTTCTTCCCTCAGTTCTACCAGAAGCTGCTGAGCACAGTTAAAATAAATAAGATACTAACCAGGCAGATCTCTCTGGAGCCTGGCGAGGATGTGAGGACATGGTTTGAGGCACATGAATGTGATGCCCATGGCCATAGTTCGGGTGCATCCTATGTGGATGAGGTGGGGGGCGTTCATGTGCCCGCCTGGAAACACAGAACACAAAAAGACCACTGGAAATAATTGAATAATTGGTTATTTCTTACTGTAGAGTAAAATACTACTGCAAATATTATGAACATCTTAAAATTAACTCATACTAAGAAACATGCTATATAAATTTAATAATAAATTGAAAATCAATATTCTCCATAAAAATTGTACTGCTCACTTATTCTAACACCTCAAATTGAAAATTCATCCTAGGAGTAGGTTATTTTAATTACAATAGTAGAAACTGAACAGAAATAAAAACTTAAAAAACACTCAAGAAAAAATGTTACATGTACAAATTAGTTATTTATGTAAACATACAAAGTAGGACAATGGAAACTACTATTTTGCTACACTCTGTAACAAAATTTCAACCATTTAAGAGGGAAGTATTTTGTTTTGTTTAACATTTCTTGTTTGGTTTTAAGACATGGTCTCACTGTGTTGCCCTGGCTGGCCTCAAACTGACAGAGGTCATCCTGCCTCTGCCTCCTGAATGCTAGGATTTAAAGGCATGTTTTTGCTTTTTTTTGGGCAACAAGATCTTGGTTATATAGATGCTCTACCCCCAATTTTTAAAAAAATTATATGTATATGAGGTCAGACAACAAACTGCAGGAATTAGTTCTCTCCTTCTATCATATGGGTCCTGGGTATCAAACTCAGGCTGTCAGGCTATCAGCAAGTACCTTTACTCACAGAGCCATCTCGCTGTCCCATAAACATTTTCATGCAAGGACTAAACTGTAAACTTTCTCAGTTTTAAGCCTGGCATGGTGGTGCTCGCCTTTAATCCTGGCACTTGGGAGGCAAAAGCAGGTGGATCTCTGTGAAATTGAGGCCAACCTGGTCTACGTTTTAAGATCCAGGCCAGTTTGGGCTACAGGGAGACCCTGTCTCAAAAAGAACCCAGCCACCCCCTTCAAAAAAAAAATTTCTGGAGGAAAAAAAAAAACACCTAGCTAAGCCTTTGTTGTATGACAGGTGAATGAAAAAGTTTAGCTGTTTTCCAATAAAACCTTTACAGGAATAAACAAATGAATCAGACCAACAGTTCACTGTCGTGACAATTTATAAATCAGATAATTGTGAATTATCAGATACTGAACTGTCAAAAGAAGTAGTTAAGTCTTTTTCTAAATTCGGGGGGGGAGGTATTATAAGGTTAATAAGTTTTTTCTAAATCAATCTTTGTTGTTGTTTTGAGAGTGGATCTCACTGAACCCAAGCTAGCCTTGAACTTCTGACCCTCTTGCTTCCACTACCCAGTATGCCACTTTGCTTGGTCTTATGCAGTGCTATGGACTGAACCCAGTGCTTCATGCATGCTATGCAAGCACTCTACCAACTAAGCCACATCCCTAGTCCCACCACCAAATTCCTTCCTAAGATCTCTGTCAGTTTTTGAAAATTCTATTAATATTCTTTCCTCTGGATAGTAACATAATAAATCAGATCTTTGATAATCCTTATATCTTGTTCTTTGGGATCAATGTTAACATCATTCTTTACTATGGCATGCTGTAGAAACAGAAACAAAAAGATTTGCTTTCATAAAGACAGGTGATCTGATATAAACTCATTGTCAACAACAACAATTCAGGATAGGACACAATAAGGTTAATTTATGGTTGATAATTCTCCTACCAGGTATATAGCTCAGTCAGTGGCAGAGCACTTGCCTAGTGGCCTTAAGGCCATGAATTCAATGTTCAACAATGCAAAAAAAAAATCCAAAAAAGTTAATTTCCTAGTGAACTGATGATTTAGTATAATTACATTATTCAAAGATTTCATAAAGTTTTGCTTTGCTTTGTTTTCCCCACTCACTAAGTGTGGTGATGTGTACCTTTAATCTTAAGCTGAGCAAGGAGGTTCACAAACTCACGGCCAGTCTGAGCTACATGGTGAAATCAGGTCTCAATAATACAAAAAAGGATTTCATAATTTTTAACACAAGAAGAAAAACAAGCACGATTTTCTTTTTAGAAACAGGGACATACGTTGGATGCTGCATCATCCTCCTCCTTTGAACTTCCATCCTCTGCATCACTTCATGAGGGTGCAGTCTCTGGGCTGGAGGTGCTGGGGCCGGAATATGGTGTGAAATTGGCTGGTGAGTAGGAGGAAGATGTTGCGGGATGGGTGCAGCAGTACTAGCTAAATGAGCTGGGGGTGGGGGTGCCACAGGATGAGATGTTGCATGAGAAGATATCTGAGAATGAAAAGCATGTACAGGATGGGGAATAACATAATCCACTTGAGGTGGAGGCTGGGTCTGAGGAGGGGGGTTTCCATGAGCATGGGGGCAAGCCGAGGCTTGATGGTGCAGTGGTCTTGTCAAGGAAGCATCTGCAAGAAAAAAGCATATGAATATTTAGAGCTCCACTCCATTCCCAGCATTACAAGGTTCTATTATGAGAATGGACCAAAGGCTTTTCTTTTTTAATTACCAGTGGTAAAAACTGGACGTACTCCAAACACCTCTACCATTTCTCACATTCTCACTTTTTCATATGCATACACACGAGCTCACAGACCATTTCGTAGTAAAATTCATATAAGCAAGTTAGAGTCTCAAAAATAATTTAAACACAACTGTTGACAAAAACATCCTTCCTAAAGGTTGCCATAATTAACGCATTAACAAGACATATATGTGCTATTACCCTCACACAGTCACTAAAATTTTTAAATAAATGTGAATCTAAGAAAAAAAAAATTTTTTTTTTTCATCTTTTTGCGACAGGGTCTCCCTGTAGTCCCAGATGACCTGAACTCACTATGTAGACCAGGCTGGCCTTGAACTCATAAAGATCTGCCTGCCTTTGGCTCCCAAGTGCTGGGACTAAAGGCATGTGCCACCACGCCTGGCAGAGAAAATTATTTTACTTACTAGCCAGTTATATCTAGGTTCAATCCCAGAAATGAAAGGAGGGGGAACCCCTAAAACTCACAAAAACATTTTTAAAATATTTATTTTTATTTTGTGTATGAATGTATTGCCTGAATATGTGTAAGTATACCCAAATTGTGTAATGCTCTCTGAGGTCAGAAGAGGGTGTTGGATCTCCTGGAACTGGAGTGTATTAGTCACTTTTCTGTTGCTGTGATAGAAACACTGACCAAAGCAATTTATAAAAGGAAGAGTTTATTTGAGCTTACGGTTCCAGGGAAATTACAGTCCATCATGGCAGGGAGGCATGGTGGCTGGAGCAGGAGCAGCAGAAGCTAAGCTCTCACATCATCATGCAGGCACAGGAAGCAAGAAAGCAACTGGAGATCCGGCAAGGCTTAAGAACTCTGTAAGCCCACCCCCCGGTGACATGCTTCCTCCAGGATAGCCACACCTTCTAAAACCTCCCAAAACAGCGCTATCATCTGGGAACAAAATGTCCAAATACTTGGAGCCTATGGGGGACATTTTCATTCAAACCACCACATGGAGTTACAGATGGTTGCTGGTCGCCATGTAGGTGCTGGGAATTGAACTCGGGTCCTCTATAAGAGCAGTCAGTGCTAACAGCTGAGCCATCTCTCTAGTCTGAACAAAAACATTTCTATCAATTGTTCTGTGAGGCATCTTTTATTTTTTGGGGAGGGTCTTTTTGAGACAGGATCTCCCTGAAGCCCCAGCTGGCCTGGAACTCACTACATAAACCAGGCTGGCCTCGAACTCACAAAGATTCGCCTGCCTCTGCCTCCCAAGTGCTGGGACTAAAGGTGCGCACCACCATGCCCGGCAAGACATCTTTTTTTTTAGTTTATTCTTTAATGTGTTTTGCCTGCACGTATGTAAGTGCACCATGTGCACGCAGTGCCTGTGAAGGCCCAAAGAGGGAATAGGATCCACTGGAATTGGAGTTAAGGACAGTTGTTAGCAGCCAAGTGGCCAGTGCTCTTAATCACCAAACATCTCTCCAGTCCCTTGAGACAGTATCTTCCTCCATAATCCAAACTGACTTCAACCTCAGCCTTCTGTGTGCTAGAATTTCAGACACACAGCCACTAAACCTGTCTTCAGTTACAACTTTAGAAATACATCTTACTTTCCTTTATGATTTACTGTTTACAGAGAGCTATTAAGGAAAAGAATTTCTAAGTCCTCTGGACACAATTGTGAAAATAGTTCTTTTGCTGGCTCTATCTCTCCTGCCTCATATCATTTATCCTGTGCTTCATACAGATGAAGGAGGCATATTTTCCAGGAAAATAAGCCCTTAAGTAAGATCCTTCCTCTCAATCCTTCACTGCAAATTTTTATTTCAAACTCTGCTGAAAGATTCCTCAAAGGAATACTCATCTCTCTTACTCTGAGAGGCCTGCATCTATCTGACTTTTTATTTTTTTAATATCAATTTTGGTGTGATATGCCCACCTATAATCTCAGCTACCAGAAAAGGGAGGAAGGAGGTTGAGGTAGGAGAACCTTAAGTTTAAGATTAGCTAAGCAACACAGGAAAACCCTGTCTCAAGAAAGAAGTCTCCTAGAATTTCAGTCCAAACTTCATTTCATTGGCCAATATTCTTATGTGTGTATCTGTCCACATATGCTCACGTGGGTGTGTGCACATGTATCTGAGGTGCATGCACGAGCGCACGCGTGTGTGTGTGGGGGTATCAAATGTCTTTCTCAATCATTCTCTATCCTATTTTTGGAGACATGGGACCTGGGGCTCACTGACTGAGCTGGATTAGCTGGCCAAAAAGCCTCAGGGATGCTCCTGTCACAACCCCACCACCACCCAGCACTCGATTTCTAGGAACACACTGCTACACTCAGCTTTTTTACATGGGCTCTGGGGGTTAACCTCAGGTTCTCATGCTTGCACAGCAAGCACTCTATTGAGTGAGTCATCTCCCTAGCCCATTACTGGGCAATACTGGGAAATCTGGTTTGGAGCTATAGTTTTCTCTGCTTTCATTTACAGAAGGACTATCTTCAAAGTTTTTAAATTTTTAAAAAATATTTATTTATTTACTTATTTACTTATTTTGTGGGCAGACATATCACAGCATACATGTGAAGGTCAGAGGAGAAGTCATTCTCTCTCTACCACATGGGTCCTGGGGATCAAACTCAGGTTATCAGACTTGGTAGCAAGCACCTTATCTACTAAGCCATCTCACAGGCCCTATCTTCAAATTTTAATGTTATTGATATACTCAGGAGCAGTAGAAGTCAGATAATCATAATTCAGGCAGCTCAAAGGAAGTCAAACTCAGTAGTTTACAATTTTTTAAACCAGTTTTTTTAAAGTCTTATTATTAAATCAATCCTTCAATCTTCAAGAAGACAATACAGTTCAGTACCTAAAGGTGACTTTAAAAAAAAGGTCATTGTTGATTATTGTTAACTATCTTTCCTATAATTCCCACCATTTGTTCCAGCTTCATTTCAAAGTTTTCTATCACTTTAATCATTACATAAGACATATTCATAGTTTACAAAGTCAAGGTTTTATTTCATAATGAATCTACTTAACTCTTCAGCAAACACTTTAAGTAACTCTTTATCTAAAGAGAATAGATCAATAGCCACAGAGATGACCCATTTTGCATTCCTATTTTCTAGTATTTTTGTTTTATTTTGGTTTGGTTTCTCAGCAAGTATGTAACCCACACTGGCCTCAAATCTGAGATGATCCTCCTACCTCAGCCTCCCAAAAGCTGAAATTACAGGCAAGTGCCATCTTATCTGTTTTTGTTCTTTTAACTGAATCTATCCTCTGCAAGAGCAAATGCTCTTAACTGCTGAGTCATCTCTCCAGCCCAGTTTTGGTTCTTTGTGAAGCAAGGTCTTATTCTGTAGTCCAAGATAGCCTTAAACTCTCAATTCTCCTGCCTCCATCTCTGAATGCTGGTATTACAAGCATGCACCACCATACTCAGCTTCCTTATAAATTTTATGAGTATTCTTGTCAGGGTGGAAAAAGTACGTAATAGATACTTATCAATTAGGCATAAAATACATTTGGGGGAGGGGGGTTCTTTTTGAGACAGGGTCTCCCTGTAGCCCCAGCTGGCCAGGAACTCACTATGTAGACCAGAGAGGCCTCAAACTCACAGAGATTGGCCTGCCTCTGCCTCTTGAGTGGGATTAAAGGCCACCAAGCCCGGCATGTATAAAATAAAATTCCTTTCAGGAATTGCTTCCTAAAAGCTGAATATGTCATTTAGAGATAAAACATTGACATTGATCCAACATCACACTTAACTCACAGTTTTAGAGTGTATACTACCACTCAATGATAAAAAGTAGTCTTTACTGGACATAGCAACACAGGCCTATATTTCAGCATTAGGGAGAGGCTGAGGCAAAAGGATCTTGAGTTCTAGGCCACTCTGGGCCACATCAAGAACCTATCTCAACTCCATTCCCCAAATAACGAATAGTTTTACTTATATAATGTCATAACATTTTCAAAGATAATACAACTTTTAAATGATAGCATTTCAGATACAGCATGGTTTTATCACTTACTTAAGAACAAACTTTCCAAAACCAAGGAATTGTATTCTTAGTGTACTGCTTAGTATTACTAGTATGTAAACTAGTCACGTGGGTCGAAGTTTGCCAATTTATAGCGAATCGGAATTATTGTTTTGCCAATGTCAAGAAACTGAAAACAAAGAGATTAAATAACTTGCCCAAAGTCACTAAGCTAATTCCTCAAACTTTGAGGTCCTCTTTGATCTGATTCTAACTGTGGTACTCTCCCACAACCTGTCTTCCTTAGCTCAATTTCAGTGAAAAGGGGTTTAAAAACTATAGGCATTGTACACATATTAAGGAATACTAGAAATGGTTTTTTGTGGGTTTTCTTTTTTGAGACAGGGTCTCCCTGTAGCCACAGCTGGCCTGGAACTCACTATATAGACCAGGCTGGCCTTGAACTCATAGATATGCCTGCCTCTGCCTCCCAAGTACAGGGATTAGAGGCGTGCACCACCATGCCCAGTTAGAAATGTTTTAAAGCAGGGAGAGAGACTTAGGCACGGGTACAAAAGCACTCCACTTAGAAAAAGTAGTCTAGACCAAGGTTACAATTCAAATTTCCTACTTTCATTCTTATTCACAGACCTCCCCACCCCCAATGAGAAGTATAAACTGGTACAAACCCTTGAAAAAAAATTTAACAGTATTTATTTCTAAGTTTTTTTCTGTGACACAGCAGTCTCACCCCTGGAAAGTTATCCTATAGGCAGATTCAAACAACTACAAATAATTTAAATATTCATCAACAGAGGACTGGTTTAATACAATGAAATACTCTGAGGGTGTTAAAAAAAAATAAGGGAGGGGGACTGGAGAGATGGCTCAGCAGTTAAGAACACTGGTTGTTCTTGCAGAAGACCTGGGTTCAAATCCCAGCACCCACATGGCAGCTAACAACTGTCTGTAACTCCACTTCCAGGGGATCCAACATCATCCTCTGTCCTCTGAGGTCACTGCACGACATGGGTGCACTTACCTACATGCAGGCAATACACGCACACACATAAAATAAAAATAATAAATAAAGATAAAAATAAGGGAGGGGGTAAAAGCAACAAATACCACTGAATTAGTTTCACCTGATAACATGGAAAAACCCAATATATAATTAAATGAAAGAATAAAAAAAGCAGAGCACCATCTGTGATATGGTTTATTTTTTAAAAGGGCAGATATGTTTATATATATTTACAAAGTAAACTTCTGAATGCTTTTTTAATAAGCTTTAAAACAATTGCTTCCTCTGAAGATCTAAGAGTAGTGACGGGAGGGGGAAAGAAGTTTTTCACTTGTGTTTTTGTTTTTGTTTTTGTTTCTGAGACAGGGTCTCCCTGTAGCACCAGCTGGATTGAAACTTGCTAAGTAGACCCAGAGATGCATCTGCCTCTGCCTGGAAGGTGTACACCATCACACCCATCTTAACTTTTTATTTTACAACATTTTGCAAAAGTTTGAGATTTTTAGAATGTACATGAAACACTTTTATGATAAAAGTTAAAACCAGCTTAGGTGTCTTATCAAATCTTTGTTAGGACATTTAAAAAGGAATAGCATTATCTGCTTCAGTATGTGAAAGGGGATGAACAGAAAACCACACATACTAAGTTCTTAATAGAAAAGGATCAACTCAGGCTGACCACCAGCAGGTGTAATAGAACAGCCTGTTAGCTACACCAGTACTCACACACAGAACTTGTTAACAAGCTAATGCTTTGCAAAACCAAACTCTGTTTCTAAACCTATTTTCCAATTCACATTTTATATTTTAAGTTGTATTAATGAAAAGTTAAATAACACATCATTATTTCACTGTATAAAATTTAGGCTGATTCCACCTGTGTCTCCAAGGATGAAGCTCTTTAAAATTATTGTAATAGAAGAAATTCAGGATGATGTATAATTGAAAACTGACCGATGCATATAATCAGAACAAAAGACAAATTTCCTGAATGACTTGCTGGTCTACTCTTGGCATAATTATCAAAATATTTTTAGACTCCCATTTAGTAATTAGCTTATAATCAAACAAAACAGGAAGTTAGATAGCCCAATGGTCTTTATCATTTTTAAGATACCTAATGGATTCTAATTTCTCTAAAACTGCCAATACCTGGTTCTATTTTAATTGCCTGTACCAAATTATTATTATGACTTTTTTTCCAAATGGCAAAAACATCTGTTAACAGAACTCTCTTGTGTTTCAGCTATTTGAAATTCATGAACAAAATTTATTTTGTTGTACTAAGAAATACTACTAAACTTTCATGTTTTTTCAGTTACTCTGAAAATATATATTGCCAGGAAGCAGAAAGAAGTGATCACTGTGAGATTAAGGCCAGCCTGGTCTACATAGTGAGTTCCAGGCCAGCTGGGGCTATAGGGAAACCTTGTTGCTATTCAATATATTTCAACTCATAGATATCTGAACTGAAAAAAATCAATCCTACACTTAAGCCAAATATATACTAAAACTCAATGAATTGGGATTAATGAAAGGTAATTCTATGGAGGAATGCACAATGCTTCATTTATATACTCTAGTTCTTTGACTATTTACACTTACAAGGAGGTGGCATATAATGCCGACATGATGAGAGAGAGGGCTGTGGAGGAGGCTGGGGCTGGGGCTGTGCAACCATGCTTGATCCATAGCCATCTATTGATAATGGCTGAGTCGGGGCAGTAGCAGCCTGATGGCCAAAGATTGCAGCTCGGGAAGAAGAAACAGGGCAGCAGGGATCAAACGCAGATGCTCCATGGAAACCACTATTTCCATGACTCCTGATCGCACTGTTGCTCAGGTCTACTGGCAATGCCTGCTAAAGAAAGAGGAATTAGGTTTTATCTTTCTCAAGTTTCACCAAGACATTATTTCATGCCATTTAACCAAAGTATCCCTAAGGCTACCTAGAAAAATAAAATCTTCAAATTAATTTGGAAATGACAGAGACATTAAACACTATACAGCTTAGATTTTTTAAACT